GACTGTGGGTGCATGTGTCTTTCCCACTAAAGGATGACGAGATCAACCACCAGAGCCAGATGGTGGAGAAGCTGAAGGAGCAGATGCTCGACCAGGAGGAGGTAAAGGATCTTGGTTTTATTTCCTTTCATCAGTTTGGTTAAACAGCTCACGGTGGGCTGCAGTGTCTTTGAATGTGGAAATGAAAACTACACCGTGAATAGAAGTCAGCTGTGAGACATTTATTATCCTGCCCTTGAGATTACTGACAGAAAAAAGTCCTTTCAGGTGCCAAAAAGCACTTGAAGAAATTAAACTGTCGTTGTTTAACTGTGAGTGTATCACTGTTGCTGTGTTCTACATGCTAGCAGTGGTTTAATCTAGAATAAAATTAAGTGGCTGAACAGCGCAGAAAAGAATCGATGAAAAGGCTGAAGAATGACTGAAGCTTGTTAAGTGTTCGTTTTAGAAATTGCTCCCTAACTTTAAACGGGGAACGATTGTTTGTTTGTTTTTGCTGGCATGACTGAACACTGCTGCTGACAAATAAACATGCTCTCTAGTGATTTGATCTATAATTGTCACTTTATCACATAAATATCTGTTGCAAGTAAGTAAATCAGTACTTGTAGGAAGAACAGCAATTAAAAGACTCCATTAAAACCCAATTAAAAGACGTATTTGCAGCGTGTTTTCATAGGAGAGGCTAAGCTGTTGAGGAAGAGAAGCTTAAAAAGGCTTTGGGATGGAGAGGACTCTACATTTGCTTAATTTAGTCATTCATTTCCAAAATGGTCCTGCTGCGGGTTGAACTGACACAGTGCTAACTACCCAACTATGGTTTGTTTATAGTAACACAAAGTTACATTCATTTATCTAAATAAAAGCCGTATGCTGCAGTGCAAATATGCCGGCACTCCAAGCGGAGAGCATCTACATTTAATGGCTTCCGTTTAGTGAAATGACCCACAGTGGGCTGCAGCAGTGCAGCAAACAGCATGGTGGCACAAAAGCCATCTCTCAATCTTTAAATTATTATTTTGTACAGTTGCTTGAATATTGTGTGACATTTAGCTCTTTATGCCAGAAAACAGGATAACTCTGTTAAGACCCAGCAGCTCTGCTCTGTAAATAATGAAGCGAGCGCTCAGCAGGGAAGTTTCACCGTTCCACTTTTAAAAGAGTTTTTTTCTCTATTTACAGTTTGCAATAAGTCGAATGTCTTTGCCCCTCAGCTTCTCGCATCGTCCAGAGGTGACAGTGAGAAGGTGCAGTCGGAGCTCGGCAGGCTGCAGGCCGAGAATGAATCCTCAAAGGCCGAAGTAAAAGAGGTTCTTCAGGCCCTGGAGGAGCTGGCGGTCAACTATGACCAGAAAAGCTTAGAAGTCGAGGAGAAGAGCGTGCAGAACAAGCTCCTGGCTGAGGAGCTTTCAAAGAAAATGGTGAGTCTGACCTCCAGGAGGCTTTTTGAATAAATCTTTTATCAACAAAGTTCTGTGGCTAAAATAAAGAAATAGAATATCAAAGAAGCAAAGAAGATCATAGACAGATGTTGTGCTTTGGTGTGTTTACAGGGAAGCAAACTGCAAAAAAAAAGTAGAAAAGGAACTCTCTGTAATAAAATCATTTCTTCATTTAAGCCTCCATCTTACAATATGCTGAGCTACTGGTTCAAAATGCAATTAGTGAGATAAGTAAAATTAAAGCTGCATGTAAAGAAGATAAGGAGAACATTCTGATGAATGGTGCCACCAGTGGTCATTAACAGTGAAGTATTGGGATTTCTTTTGTTTTCTTTCTCCTGTTTTTTTGCTTCTTGGCTGGTTCAGTGTCGTGCACTATGACTGCCCACAGAGAGCACAGCTCTGACTTTGCTTGATTAAATGTATTTTTCACAGAAAAGCTTGTTTACTCGAAGAAAACAGTCAACGCTTTAAAGTTTCGTTTATCTTTGATTTTTTCGTAACAAAGACATCCAGCCTTTCTGGATCGAGACCTTCCAGTGACTGTGTTTTCAATAGTCATGGTCTGAAAATGTTTTGCTTTTGTGTGATGGGAGCTTTCTGTTTTTACGTGTTTTTTCTCTCTTCTTACTGGTTGGATGTGGGTGGGGTTCAGCCACACATAATGTCTCATATTTCTATGAACCCGTCAGATAGGTAGGTCTATTTTTTGACTCTGAGTCAAACCACACCTACACAGTCCTGCTGAAGAAGGGACTTTGGCTGTTAAACTGCTAATAAATATACCTAAAGACAGAGAAGGAGAAACAACATTTGTAGCATATTAGCATCTCTTCATTGGATTCCTGTTAAACTGAACTATACTCTCGTACAAGGTCTTGAATAATCAGACACCAGCTTATCTTAAAAACCTCATGGTACCATTTCACACCAGTAGATTCTCTCACTTTCAGACTGGTTTACTTGTTGTTCGTACAGTGTTTAAAAGTAGAATGTGAGGCGGAGCCTTCAGATTTGTAACCAACTACCAGTTTAGATTCAGGAGTGTTGGAGACAGACTCCATCTCTACTTTTAAGATTAGGCTTCAAACTTTTCTTTTTGCTAAAGCATATAGTTAGG